AGCAAAATATTAATAATATATTTGACTCTATTTTAAATATGTTATATGATATCAATCTATTAAGAAGTCTATTTATAATTTATATAATTAGGTTATTTATCAAAGTTCTCTAGTATATATTATAATTTAAAGATAAAAAGTTATCATTTTCTTTTTTTAAATACAACAACCAAAATATTCAAAACAAATCGATTGCAATTGTTTAAAAAAAATATGACTTTACTCATCTGTTATTAGTCATTATACAACTGATGCTCATAATTACAAAGATAATAAAACTATTCATAATTTTTCTCTATTAGTTTCATAATTATTTTTATTTAATAAAAACAAACAAGTCACAATTGTAAAACTATTTATAAATATATATTGTCAAAAAAAACTATTTATGAGTTTTTTATTAGAAATAAGTCAATAATTTCTATAGAAGTTGTTAAGAAATGTTGCTCTAAATAGTATTTACCTATTAACAAAAATTTTAGTAATACTAATATTTTGTGCATACTAAACTTCATAATAAAAAATAGAAAAATTTACAAGTAAGGACCCAAAAAGATAAAATAATTATATATAAGGATTTTGTTTTAGAAAATTTTACTATATTTCATAATATAGTAAACAAAATTTAATAAATTTGATATTATTAAATCATCTTGTCAAGAAGATTGAATAGTAATAAAATTGTTAAATTTAAATTACTAGATAACAAAATATTACAATTTAAACAGATTTTAGAAAATATTAAATAGCTTATAATTCAGTAATTTAAATTTAGCAATTTTAGTACTATCTGATCTGTCTTAATAAAATAATTCAAATAGTACTAAAATTATTAAATTTTGTTTACTATATTATAAGATATAGTAAAATTTTCTAAAATAGAGCTTTTATATATAATTGTTTTGCTTTTTTGGGCTCTTATTTGTAAACTCTCCTAAAAAATATTTAAATTTTTTTAAAAAAGACTGTATTCTATAAATAATATAAAGCTAACTCTATATAGTTATTAAACAATTTTAAAAAGAATATTAAACATAAAGTTCATATATAATTATAATTAACAAAAAAGATTGATAAAGTGATTATTTACTATATATAATACAATATTGGTATGAAAAGTTATAATATATTTTGGTAAATTGATTATAGAATAATAATTTAACTTTATACAAGAGTATTAAATTAATTTTTTTTTTATTAAACACTAAGTGAAAATTATAAAAAAATCTTTGTAAAAAGAAAAACATTGAAGTGTAATAATAAAAAAATAGATTAACAATGTATTACAAAAAAGAAAATTAGAGAATTTGATAATATGAAGAATGTTGATTTACAAAAAAAAAAACAAAATTAATATATTAACAAAAAAGAATATTTTAATAGCAATAAAGAAAATATTAATTTATTACAATAAGATAATATTAATATTGTTAATAACTTTAACTTTGAATAATAAAGCTTATGCTTGATATTCTTGAAAATTTAGAAGAAACCAAGAAAGATAATAGAAAAAAGGTATTAAAATTAGTATTTGATAAAAATATATATATTTTAAGTTTTTGAAAATAATAAAAAACTTCCAACTTCATAAATTTATTTAGTTTACAAGTTTGATATTTGATATTGTAAGTATTAATTAGTATTCTTTTTTTTTTTTATTATAAATTCATATAACAAACTATATAATAACTTTATTCTTAGAATATAGTAACTTAGTGAAGTGGTAAAGTTGTTGCACTCCCAAATAGTAGGTCTAAAGTTCGAATTTTACAGATGATATTTTTGAAAAATAAGCTTGTAATATGGTAATAGTCATGGTTAATCAGTTGGGTCTCAGAACCTATAATCTTAGTAACACCATGTTTATATAGAAGCTTCAGCATATAAAAGGCCAAGAAATTGTAATAATCAAAATCTATTTGAAAAGTTCCAAGTTGGAAGTAGCAGTGATCTTTGATGATACTACAAGAAGACTGAATTTGAAACTAGAAACTAAAATTGAAGAACCAAGTGACTAGGTTCTTAAATAGAAAGACATACTAGCCAAACTGCCAGCTCACTACTAAAGAAAAAGGACTTGTATTCTAGAAGTATGTACCAAGAAAAGGAGACTATAAGACACCTAATACCTGGGCAGACCAACCCTTCTAGGTTGCTGGCTAGAAATAAGAGAGAGACTGATAAAGAATCTGGAAAAGAAAGAAGTTGGAACATAGATACTAGAGTTGTTGTGAATCTTGCAAGGGCAGAGAGTATATAATAGAAACTAATTAGAAAGGTTGTGGCTTGAGATATAGATTGGGTTATGGTAGTATCTGAAAAGATAGCTTGAAACATGAACTCAATGGTGGCAGCATAACAGGTACTAATTAGAAAAAGTTACTGAACATGTAGGTGAATACATGTATAGGATATAGACTACTCTGTTAGGTATACTATAAAAATAAATACCCTCTTGAGAAACTAGATTAACTAGCAGCTAAAGTCTTGGAGTTTTTAATAACAAATTATCTTGAAAAGATATATTAGAAGAAACATGGTACAAGGGTTGAAGCTAGAGAGTTTAAATAGATAGCTTCCTAGTTAGACTATAGATATAGTGGCTAGTATAGAACTTTAAAGCAGACTATTTAAATTAGACAACCAAAAGTTGTATATGTGGCTAGTTGTATTCTTGTAATACTACTATAACATGTTGTATATGGTCTTCAAATTAGTGATATTTGCTAGTACTAATAAAGTGCTAAGGGTTTAAGTAGTCACCTTGAATATTAAAAAAAAAATAACAATAATAACTTTATTTTTTATCTATAAAATTTTAAGGCAAACAAAAATAAAAGATATATATATGTATTTATACAGTTAGCAATATGATATAAAAAATAAATTCTTATATAATTTATAAGTCATAGCATGAGTAGTGCATTTTAGTCTAAAAGCAATTTAGTTTTGTTTATAAGGTAGGTTTAAATTAGTATTGACTAAGGGATAAAATATAGTTTTTTGTTAAATTATATTTATAAAAATGTAGTCTTTTAGTTTTTTTTCTGAACTTGTAAGGATAAAGTCACTGTATCAATTTTATAGAATGATTTGAATAAAACTATTTAATATTTTATGTATTATTTATTAATTGCTCAAAATTTATTATTGGTTTATACAGTCAGACCTCATTATAGTCACTCTCAATATAGTCACAACCTTGTTATAATCACACTATTTTTTTGATCTATCTATTATAAAACATATAAATTTTGACCTTTATATAGTCACGACTTTTTATAATCACCAAAATTTTGTATCCCAACCTGGTGATTATATCGAGGTCTAACTGTATATTAATTTCTAGCAACAATTTGCAAATTATTCTTTAAAAAGATATCCAAATACTAGAATAAATTCTTTCATATTTATTATAGCTAAACATTTATTGATATATATATATATATATATATACTGTAGATACTAGAGTTTTAAGTAAACTCTACAAGGACATAGCAGTTAAATAGATTCAAAACCTAACTGCAATATTAGATTAGCCAAAATGAGATATAGAAGACTCTAGTAGGTTTATCTTAAGCCTAAAGTTAGTAAGTTCTAAAGCATAAACAAAATTTGGGCAACTAAGTTAGAAGATTCTACTAGATAAAATTAGATTATAATCAAAAGAATTAAATAGATAATCTTCTATATATATTTTGTTATATATATGATTAAAATTTGTATTAAATATAATATTCATATCTACTATCTCTTTGCATAGTAAAAAAATAAGCTATAATAAATATAATGCTTAAGAACTATTTTATTTAGTATTATATATAGGAGTTTGGATCAAAATTCCAACAAACAAAATCCCAATAGATCATAATCCTGACAAAAAAATCCCAACAAACAAAATTTTGACAAATACTAACAATCAAAAAAAGTGTTTATTTGAGTAATCAAAACACTTCAAGAACATGGAACCCAGTGATCATTACATTACATGTGAAATTATGAATAATGTTATTTGTTTACTAGCACTAAAAAATTAGCCTAAACTATCTTATCACCTAACCCCACTAAGATAGTAAGCAAATATTTGTGAAAAAATTTTTTTCAGAATTTTGCAATCGGTCGGGTTATAAGAACCGATTTGTTGAGTTTGTATATTTAAAAAATAAACTATGTTTTTAAATACTGTATTTATGATACGTATACGTATAAAGTATATAACTGATAATTATTAATGTTATACGTACGTACGTACATATAATCTTTAATTAGATATTTGTTAACAGTTAAAAAAAATACATACGTATCGATATGACTTTTACTAAAACGCACCTATGGTGTTTTACACCTATGCATATATAATCTCAAAAACTGACTAATTAATCAATGCAAGATGTCCTAAGTAAAAATGCTCTACGCCCCTAAAAACCCTTCTCAAACCCTAATTCTAACCCTAAATACCAACACTAACATGAAAATTTTGTGTTGAAAATTTTTACATTCAAAACAGGAAAATATAAAAACATAATAAAATATATGATAGGTGCAAAACCATAGTGCGTTTTATAATAAAAAATTGCTTTATTGAGTAAAAACTAATTCTACGTACATACCACGATTAATATCTGATATCTGTTACGTATACGTATACCTTTTACGTATCTTTAACATATTTCCATTTTTGATCTATAAAACTATATATCGATATAGTTAAATTCTACCAAGATTAACAAATTTAATATATATCAGAAAAAAGCTTTAAAACTTAAAACTTAAACAATAGTCGAGACGTTATAAAGCGCTAATTTTTTTTTCTTTTTTTTTTTTTTAGCAACTTAATAGTTCTGCCTTTTGTTTTTATTAAAACTTCGAGCTGTCGTCTTTCTCCTGAGATTTCGTCTTTGAATTTTCCTTCACCGGAGTTTCGTCCTTCGCGTCTTTAACCGGGAGTTTCGTATTTCGTCTTTCACCAGCTTTAGTTTCCCCTTTCGCCATTTACAAAAATGGTTTCTCCCAACGACTATATATGTGACTTTTTGAAACAACACTCTTCTTATGATGTATTGCCAGTAAGCTATAGGTTAATAGTTTTAGATACTAGCTTACTTGTAAAGAAAGCTTTGGCTGCATTAATGCAAAATGGTAAGTAATTAATACGTGTGAAACATATGAACAAATTCTTTGTGATGTCAACACCACAAAGCCTTGGTTCTGATCACTCTTCTTTGTGGGCTAGCACTGGATATAACCGTCTTAAAATGCCATCAATGATTTTTTCGTACAGGAGTTGTATCAGCACCGCTTTGGGATTCAAATAATCAAAAATTTGCTGGAATGTTGACAGTATCCGATTTCATTAACCTAATCCATTATTATTACAAGCATTCATCTTATACCGTTGCGTTAGAAGAAATTGAACAATTTCAAATACAACAATTAAGAGGTAATATCTATATTAAAAATTATCTTTATGAATGGTTAATAACTATTTTTTTAACGTTAAATAATATTTATTTATTTAAGATGTGGAAAGTCGTTTGGGTTCACCACCACCACAATTGTTGTCAATAAATCCTCTAAAGTCATTATATGAAGCTTGTAAATTATTGGTGGAGGCTCGTGCTCATCGATTACCATTGGTTGATGTTGATTCTGAAACTGGTCAAGAAATGATCGTATCTGTATTAACACAATATAGAATACTTAAATTTATAGCAATGAACGTAAGGTATTTCATAATCTTATTTTTATATGGAATACATACGAACTACATGCCCCGCATATATATGATTTATATAGTGCAAAGAAACGAAAGATTTTCGAAAGCCACTCTCAGAAATAAATGTTGGAGTATATAATGACATTGCTACTGCAAGAATGTCTACTCCTGTCATTGAAGTTGTAAATATTTTTGCGGAGAGACGAATCTCTTCAGTACCCATAATCGATGAAAATGGTGTGATATATCACATGACCCAATTTTATTATTCTTCTCTTGGAAAATGTGAATTGACATTATTTCAACTTGTTAGGTGTTGTGTTGAATGTATATGAAACAGTTGATGTGATGGCAAGTATAAATTTTCTCGATTTTTGATTTTAAACCTTTTTACATTTTATTAAGGATCTGTTTTTATTTTAATAGACATTAGTCCGTGCTGGAGCGTATCATGGAATGGATCTTCCCATTGGAGAAGCGATATCATGGAGATCAGATGTATTGATCTTTATTTATTTTTGCATTAATTTTTTACTATTTTTTTTTTTTTTGTTTTCATCACAATTCCTTTTTCTACTAAAGGATTTTCCCGGAGTTCATACTTGTACTCTTAACGATTGTCTTCACTCAATATTCGATTTAATAAAGAAAGCCCCGGTATATCGCTTAATTGTTGTTGATTCGGAAAACAAATTGAAAGGAATCGTTTCTTTATCCGATATTATGCGTTATTTAGTAACATAATAATTTATTATTATTAATCAATCACGAAAATATTATTTGGTTGCTATTGTCAATTAATGCTATTTTTTTTTTTTCATTTTCTTTGAAAAGGTGTTTAATGTAAAATTAACCTACGCAATGGGTAATGGATATGGATTTGAAAAACTAATTATATACGTTTTATTTTTTCTTATATTTTATTGTAATGCTGATATTTTGTTTAACATGTTTAACAAGATTAAGATGATACGTACCGTAGATACATAATATAGTGATTTATTTAACTTTTTTTTTAAAAAATATATATATATATATATATATATACTATATATACTATAAATATAATTTAGTTATTACGTATTAAAATAATAAATTTTTTAATTTTATTAATTGTAAGGCAAACTATATATATATATTACGTATATATAAATCGCAGTACGTAAAAAGTGCTACGTACTTTCATTATTACCGGAGTTGTTACCATGTGTCACATGATTCTATTTCATTAAAACTCAGAATTGCCTCTAAAAGCTGGGATTGTACGTACTGTACATTTTTCTAATATTTCTATTAATCTTTATATCGTGTGCGAATAAAACATGGTGAGCTTTATTTATGTAAGCGAGAAAAGTCATTATATTAGTTGTTCTAATATTGTTGACTTTCTATCTTTGTAGAATACGTTAAAATCAGCGCAAAAAGAAAAGGTCAGGCAATTTATGACCTTTACAAATGCCAGGTAAAAGAAGTTCACTAGCGACGTCAAAATGCTCCTTGGATAAACTATATCTTATAGATCTCTTATTTTGTCATAAAATAACGTCAGTGAAAGGGTCTCCATTCGGAAACTTAGAGAATTTAACTGGAACGTAGAAGTTGCAGTAGATGCTTTCTTCAACGATCAACCTAGCTCCTGGAGATCTTTTGGCGCTTCGCAAAATTCTGGAAATCCAGATGTTTACAAACTCAATCAAATATTCTCAAAATATAAAGGTACTCTACTCTGAGTTCAAAAAACAAAGACCAAGTTTGATTCGTTCCCTTGAATGATCGTGGTTGACGTTCTCGGGAAGAAACAACAAGATTAGACTTCTCATTTATTTCATGATAATTTTATAATTATCCATAAAATTAGGCATTTGACTTAATATTACTTATTTGCTACCTAAACTTTCAAATAGATAAAGATGAAGATGCCATTTTAGTAGATGGAATGTTAGAATATTGCACCGATTTACACGTTGCACCCGAAGATGTTGTTATGCTTGTTATGGCATGGAATCTTGAAGCTGATAAAATGTGCGAATTTAAACGCCAAGGATTTATCAATGGATGGACAAAATTAAGGTGCGATTATGCATAATAGATTTACAGGGATCTTTCTTTTTAATTATAAAAATATTTAATTATTAATTCATTTAAATGTTTGACTTCTTTTTAGATGCGATTCAATTGAGAAAATGCGCGCTGCGATACCTCGACTTCGAGCATCATTGAATGATGAAGCCACATTTAAAGAGATTTATCAATTTACATTTAAATTTGGATTAGCTGAAAACCAAAAATCCTTGAGTATGTCTATAATTGAATTTTTTTATTCTTTATTAAAATATAATCAAATTTTTTTTTTTTCAATTATTAATTTGAAATTTTAAAATTAGGTCTTGACGTCGCAATAGAATTCTGGCGGATGTTATTGAGTGATCGTTGGCCACATCTTGAAATATGGATAGAGTTTGTCAAGGTAAAGATAATGTCACGAAAGGAAGACCCCTCATGATTACAGAAATTAAATAATGCTTTATTATTTGTGACTTAGGAGAAGCATGGAAAATCGATCTCTAAGGATACATGGAATCTGGTAATATCATAATTTTCATTCAAATTTCGGTTAAAATTTTAGTTATAAAAAAAATTAAAAATTATTTTTCTTATCAATATTCAATATGTAATTAGCTACTAGATTTTATCAAACAGATCAACGTCGATCTTTCAAATTATGATGCTGAAGGTAAAAAGCCTAAATTAAATCAATGATGTATTTTGATATGTTTTTTATGATATATTAATTGACTTAAATTTATTAAATTTATTTAGGCGCTTGGCCTGTTCTTATTGATGAGGTATATTTATCAAAAATGAATTTAATATAATTTTTTATGTGCAATTTCTCATATTTCCTTTCTAATATATATTAATAGTTTGTGGAGTACGCCAGAGAAAAATTGCAATTACCAGCACCCTAAGTTCAAATTTGACATAATTGTAAAACAGTGCCAATAATAATTAATGAATTATGTATGCATATATCATCTGGTAAATTTAATTTTTATTGTAAAAAGCTTAAACCTAGAAGCAATTGGGAGTCATAGCACTGTAGCTGTTTTTTTTTTTTTGTTAAAACCATTATTCAGGTTCACGAAACTACCCTACTTTATTGGACTGTTGGTAGAGTATTTTTTTTTTTTGTTTAGAAATTTAAGTTTCGTAAAAGTTGCAAGATTTGGATTTCATGTAAATTTAAATAAATCAATTTATTATGTGTTTGCGAGTCGCCTGAAGTAGCTACTAAAATAAACATTTAGCTAGTTTCGGCTATAAATTTTCAAACTTTCAAATAAGAAAGCAATTTAATTTTTGTTAGCGATAAATCAATCCTAATTACTCGGTTCGATCAATTTCCTAGGGTTGTTATCCAGGTCGTGTTGATCAGAATCTTGACGAGTCACGAGTCAAAAATTGTTCTGACTCGGTCAATCAGTTAAAAAAAAGTTAGCCGAGTGTTTTCCGATGAAAAAATGAGGAATGACATTCTGATTGGTTAAACCTTGGGGTGGCAAATGTTTTAAAATACTACAGTATCTGAAAAATCATTGATTAAATGGGCTAGGTGCTGCAAAAAGGGACCAAATTGACAATTTTTTCAAAAGATATTTTTTTTACATAAATCAATTTAGGATCATTTTTTATAACATAAAAATTGATTTTCCGAAGATCTTTTGTTTTGTCAATTTGGTCCCTTTTTGCAGCACCTAGCTACTATTTAGCCATATAACCGATGTGGTTAACCGGCTAAGAGTTGATAACCGATAGTAACCGACCGATAGTCATCCCTAGACTTAGGTATTATATATGGGTGCTGGTCAAAATCCCGACAAACAGAATCCCGACAGGTCATAATCCCGACAAAAAAATCCCGACAAATCCTGACGACTAAAAATTATTACCGTATACTTCCGAAATTAAGCACCCTCTCGGAGCAATTTTTATAGCCGAATTTCTCATGATCTAATAATCGGATCCACATAATTTTGGTACCATTCGAATCGA